ATGATGTGCCAAATAACAATAATCTAAACTGAGGCATGATATATAATGCATGAACAGGACTGAGTACACAATATCGATGAAGATAATGATATGACAGCAAGAAACGACCTCTTGGGTCTCAACAGTATTGGCATGAAGCCCTAACAGGATATCTAGCATGTTTTCACAGCACACATACTTAATCACATAATAGAAACATAGATATCAACAAGAAAGAGTTACTAAGCGGTGCCCTAGAATTATCCAGGCCGCAATTCTCATGGTGCACGCTCACACGCCCGTCACTTGGCATTTGCATCACCTCAATAACAATCATAGAACACATAGTTCGGGGTTTTGAACCCTCAGAACCAAGTTTGGAAGCGTTACTTACCTCAAGTCAAGCCAAACTCTAGCCCGCGATGCCTTTGCCTCTAGATTCGGCATCCAAATGCCTCGACTCTAACCAAAATCAGTATATAACCATCAATATACGCTAAAGGAATGAAACCCATACGAAAATTATCAAATTAACTTAAAAATTCTGAAATTGTCCAAACTCGACCCCCGGGCCCACGTCTTAGAATTTGATAAAAATCACATCACAAGAATATCCTCCTATGAGTCCATACATATGAAGAACATCAAAATCGGACCTCAAATGGCCCCTCAAATCCCAATTTAAACTCTCCAAATTCCAAGCCCTAATCCCCCAATTTTAGCCTTTAAATCCCACAAATCTCATGTCTAATTAGTTAAAAATTACCATAGAATCGAGTATTAAGTTCAAAAACCTTACCTCCAAGTATTTCCCTTCAAATCCCTCTTCAATCCCTCTCAAAAAGCTTCAAAACTGTCTAAAAAATGGAGGAAATAAGCTGAAAATCGTGAAGGTGACCTTTAATACTTTCTGCCCAGGCATCTCGCACCTATGGATCCAATTTTGCATGTGCAGACTACTTATGTGGTCAAAATAGTTGCACCTGCAGTTTTTCACTTAAGGGCCAAACATCTGCACTTGTGCCCCAGGCTTCGCACCTGCGGGATCGCAGTTGAGGTAAATCTTCTGCTCCTGCAGCTTAATCCGCTCCTGCTCCTGACTCCACGCACCTGTGGTCCCCAATCCGCAGGTGCGGAAACAACAAAAGCAGCAAATTTTCTGTAGCACAACTCCAAGTCCAACTTTCCGACAACCACCCAAAACCATCCCGAGGCCCTCAAAACCTTAACCAAACACGCCAACAAGTCACATATCACCATCCAAACTCATACCAACCCTCGAAACACTCAAAACAATGCCAAAACACCAAATCACCCTCGGATTCAAGCCTAAGGATTCCAAAACTTCCAAATTTTGCAATCGATCAAAAAGTCTGTTAAACCTCATCCGAATGATCTGAAATTTTGCACACACATCCTAAATAACACAACGGACCTACTCTAATTTTCGAAATTCCATTCCGAATAGGGCTGCTTATTGGGCGGTTATTTACTTTTAACGGTTTGGCTTATCGGTTATTGGCTTTTAAATGTATTAATCTGCTAGCCACCCGATAAGATATCGGGCGAATTGGTATCGGTTTAGCTCTTATCGGGCGGTTATCAGGCGGTTTATTGGCCTAATTCAATCTATATTTCATGCATTACAGAGGGCATACTATTGCAACAAATATACTGAGTGGCAAGTTAGCCTGATGGTCAACTAAATGAGTTTCTTTCCTCTTTCACATGATGAATTTGAACTCATTACATGTTGAGAAATTTGAACCAAGGTTTTTGATTATTACTATTGTTTTATGGTCCGCTTTAATGGCGATATTTATTTTCTACCGGAAGGTAAAATTACCATGTTAATAACCGATTTCACTTTTAATTTGGAGGTGATGCTGCCTTTTCTTCCTACTACTATTATGTATTATCTGCTTGTGAATGAAAAGGCACTAGATTAGTGATGATACAGGTTTGCTGATGGTAAGTTAAGCGAAACTTAAGGTCAATGGTAACGTTTGGCCGATTATGATACTAGTGACGTTTGGATTGGATGCNTATATATATATATATATTCTTAACGGGTTAACGGATTATCTATCAAGAAAATTGAATAATCCGCCCCCAAACTAATAAGCCGTTAATGAAAAAATTCCAATCTGTTCCCCGTCCATTAAACCGTTAACCCGATACCAATAAGCTATTAAGCTTCGGTTTCGGTTCGGTTTTCGATTTCCGTTCGTTTTGACCCCTAATTCCGACCCCGATATCAAAATTTTCACTACCAATCGGAAAACGCCAAAATTCCTATTTCGCTAATTCAAGCCTAAATCTACCACGGACCTCCAAAATATATTCCGACCATGCTCCTAAGTCCCAAATCACCTCATAAAGCTATTTGAACCATAAAAACCAAGTTCGGAGATCATTACTCACAAGTCAACTTTCGGTTGACTTTTCCAACTAAAGCTTCCCAAAAAGAGACTGTCTCATACCTCTCCAAAACCACTCCAAACCCGAATTATCCAACCCGCTACTACATAATACAGTTGAACAAGACATAAAGAAGCAGAAATAAGAGAAATAGAGTGGTAACTCATAAAACGACCGGCTGGGTCGTTACTTCATTGTACTGATTCAAACGGTATGTTAACAATTAATACTTGGGAGGCCATTAATGATATTGTTAAATTTTTGAATAAATTTTATACAGCTACTGTTGAGTTTTCTGGAGCTTATTACCGTGCTGTTACTATGATTTTAGTACATATAACTGAAATTTCTCTTCTACTCTCTAATTTCAAGAAGAAACAAAATATAAGGATGTTGTTGAAAAAAATCCAAAAATATTTCTTTCCAACTCCTCCTATTTACTTAATTGGTGTTGCTTTAAATCCTTCTATAAAGATATCTAATTGTCACTAATTAATCAATGCTTTATATACTTATATGGAGATTGGGCCAACTAAAATCCCAGATGTATATTGTTGTATGAACAAGCTAAATGATTATTTACAGCAATTATATAATTATTATACAAATATAATTGATGATGCTGCTAATAATGTAGGAAATGTTAATCCCACTTTTCATTGTACTACTTCTACTTTAGCATCTGCTACTATGAATGAAGCTGAAGGCATTTACGGTTTTAATATTTGGTCTACATTTTCTTCCACTAAAACCAGTAGCGGGAACATTGATGAGCTTCAATTCTACTTGCAAAAGTAAATGGAGCCTCACCCAAAGGACTTTTCACCGTTATCATGGTGGCATGAAATGAAAAGTAATTTTCGGTTCTTTCAGCAACGGCTCGGGACGTGCTAAATGTGTCAATTTCAACCGTTGCATCAAAGAGCACATTTAGTCAAGCAAGACAACAGCTAGGAGACATCTGTCACTTATTGGAAAGCAATGCTTTGGAAGTTTTAGTATATTTTCAGAAATTAAATCGGATCGGAGCGAAGAAATCAGGGACGTGAAGATGTTGATAAACCAGAAGACGAGGAACTTAGAAGTATATTAATAAATAGTAACTCATCTGAATTCAACACTCCAAAAGATGGCCAAGAAGTTCATATTGATTACGAATATTTTATTAGGGCAATGCAAAATCTTTGAAGTTTGAAGATTATATTTAATTATTCAAATTTGAATTTACTCTTTTTTCTTTAATTTAGTTGTCATAAAATGTAAACTTTAATTTGCAAGTTTAAATTAAAAAAAGAACTTGTAAATTATAAGTTATGTTATAAATATATCATATTATGGATGTTCATTTAATACTTCATTGTAAATAAGCTTCCTGAAGAAGCTTATCCATATGGGACTCCGTTGTAAATATGTTTATCTATTTAGTACTCTATTGGAAATAAGCTTCCCGAAGAAGCTTATAACTTCGGTACCCGGTTATGGATAAAAATTACCCCCGTAGAAGATTATCCATACTGGGTATAATAAGCTTATCCTTTTGATACTCCGTTATGGATAAATATTATCCCCGGTAGAAGATTATCCATACCGGGTACAATGAGCTTATCCTGTCAGTACTCTATTATGGATAATCATTACCCCTAGTAGAAGATTATCTATACTAGGTACAATGAGCTTATCCATTCAGTACTCCGTTATGGATAAACATTGCTCTCGGTAGAAAATTATCCATATCTGTTACACAGCAGCTTGTAGTAGCAGCTTACACAGCAGCTTGTAGTAGCAGCTTACACAGCAGCTTGCAGTAGCAGCATACACAGCAGCTTGCAGTAGCAGCATACAGAGCAGCTTGCAGTAGCAGCATACAGAGCAGCTTGCAGTAGCAGCATACAGAGCAGCTTCCTTTCTTATATAAATAGAAGAGATTTCAGTTCATTATGGACATCAGTTTGAATTCGAATAATATATCATTATGGACTGATAACTGTTGTTGTAGGCAAACCCTGTAAGTGGCAAGAACTGATCCCAAGAACCTCCAAACTCCATCTCACACACACACGGAGCATATCCTCTAGTATCTAAATAGTGCGCTCGGACTATCCGTCCATCTAAGGGTGAAATGTTGTGCTCAACCTAACCGAGTACCTAACTCCTGCTATACAGCCCTCTAGAACCGTGATGTAAACTGCATGCCCCGGTCCGAGATGATAGATACCGGCACGCCGTGAAGCTCGACACAACCAGAAATTAAGCCTATGGCAACGGTTGCAATATTGTTGCCATAGCTAGGCAAACCGATGCAATAGATCTGCCGTATCTATTGCAATGGTTTCCTTTTTATCTATTGCCACAGTTATTTTGGTCTATGGCAACGGTTTTGAACCGTTGCAACATAATCTTTTGCTATAGCCCCCGAGGGTACTGCAACGGTTTTTTGATTCTATAGTAACGAATTCTTATTACATATTGTAACGGCTATTGAGGGCTATTGCAATAGCTATTCTTTTATATATTTGATTATAAATAAATTAGTTATCTATATGATATAATATAATACACTGATATTTATTACAAACCACAAAAGGAAGCTATTTATCAACTAAAATAATCCAAAATTTCCAACTATTATCCATATATAAAATAAAAAATAATTACAACATTATTTCACAATCAAGAGTTAGCATACATTGAAATGGTTTCAAAAATGATGGATTGCTAGAAAATCTAATGGAACAACAATGTGTTAATACTCTTAAATAAGATATCCATTGTTTTTGGCTACTCTCGGGTCATTTTTGTCACCTACAAAAGATGATAAATAAATAAATCAGCAAATAATTCACAAAAGAATATATTTTCAATGAATAGACTAATATCGCGACGCACTGTAAGGAAGAATGTACATTAAGTGGGCACAACCAGTACTCAAATCTTGTTCATATTATTCTGAGTGATAAATTAGATCTTCTCCATGGCATGTATTATTCTAACACTTTATTTCACCATTGTGGAAATTATAGGCTACTATAGTTAGAAAGAAGGGCCAGAACAAAGATAAAATCAACAAGAACAAGGAGAAACAAATTGCAACTGAACTGAGCAGTACACTTTTAAGCAATTAATAAACCAAATAAACAAGAGAAAGAAAGAGCATTATATTTCAGAAATGGATTGAAGTTAATCAAGCTCACAGTGGTTCTACAATTGTTTGGTTAATGAACAGACCTAGAACTCCGTGCATTAAGTAAAATGAGGCAAATAGGAAGAACAGGTGAAGAATAAACATCTAAAACTAATTCCAGTAGGAATTGGCTTTTCATTATTTCTGATCACAACCCTAAACTCATGTTTAAGACAGGAACTATACAAGCCAAATTTAACAAATCTACATATCAGCTTGAGAGAGGACATAAATATTTTATAGAATTGGCAATACTGGGGAAATAACGAATAGAAAAGACAAAAAGTTGCAATTATTGACCAATGTTTTCTCAAATTCAAGACTAAGGTAGATGACAGTTACCTATTAGCAAAATTAGCCTCGGTCAAATTTCTCCTCATTTATGTTTCTTCTGTACATATCCACTTGTAAAAAGAGAAAAAATCAAGATATCAATTTGAAATCACATAAAGTCATTCCAACATAACATCAACTCTTCCTAAAGAAGCGAAAGTACTACAAATAGTTCTTGACTCATGTATTTAATTTTAGCATATCCATTTAACGCACTTGAGAAGAAACTAATTTTAAGCTTCTGAGGGACAAACCATGTGTATGAGAATACAAAATAAATGATATTACAAGAACAAGTGAAAGTCACTCTATCTGAATCAACATATAACAACAACAAAACCCTACACAACCAAAGTAATAGATATATATTGGCAATATCCATATGATTTACTCTTAACTTTAGAAATACTTAGGGTTTCAAACTTAAATTCACAACGAACCTATTGAGTATCAAAGTTCAGACTTTAACAATGAGAAGCTAAATAATTAATAAAAGATAAAATTATTTTCTACTGAAAATAGTGTGATAAATAGTTATCTAACTAACAACTCATCATAAATGTGAACATATCCAACTTTCTCTATCATTGGCAATCACTGCAAATGAAGTAAATCTCTTAAGGCTACATAAGTTACAATCAACCACTAGACACACAGTGTGATACTAGTTGAACTCTATGAATTGCACTCTAGATTTTTCATACATACCAACTCTGGTGATATAACCAATAACTTCTTGGCCACAAATTAAACGCAATCAAAAACATACAATTGTGGACAAAAAAGTTCAAAAATATGGTACACTATATTTTACTAGTTAAATGTAAATTCTGGTGAGATAACCATTAATATTAAATTATAGAAAAGAAAATAACAAATTAAACACTAAGATACAAAAAATATATGATCCTATATAACATTATAAATAGAAAACAAAACAATAGCTTCCTAAGTGTAATTTCTCGTGGAGAAATAAAAAATAGCAATGACAACACATGCAAGCATCAAAGTTCTAGAATCACTAATTATAAGCTCCTAATAGCTTCAAATGTATGGGGTACAATAAATTTAGCACCTAGATGATGTTAATAGTAAGACAAGAAAATTTATAGATTGAAAATATTTAGGCCAATTAAGCTTTTCAAATATTGTACAAATCTACAATTATTATAGTTTGCACAAAAAGTATAGCTCTGATGAAAGAAACTTTAGAAAGGATAAATTAATCGTCAAGATAATTTAATGTCTACCTGCAAACTTAATTTCCTATCTTGGGAACATTTAAAATCAAGAGATAAGGGGATGTGTGTGGAAGATTCTTTTATGGGACTTTAGCTTGCAAAGAATATATTTCCATCAAAGTTTAGCTCTTTGAATCTTTTCTTATTGACTGTAACATGATTTTTTTTAATAAAATATAACTGAATGATCTTATAATCTCTTTATGACCTATAAGTTAAAAAAGAATCACCTAATGCTGGAGCAAATGTCAAGAAAACTACTTAAAAAAAGTTCTTTTGAAGTTAAAACTATACATGACATGAATCCTTAGAAATGTAGCTCCAGTTTTGAAACAAGCAACACAACTCTACTAGAGTAACAAGATGATGTAAAGAGAATTTTAAATACTAAAAATTTATCACCAAGTTCACTTCCCCTGATGTCTAAGGGCACAAGAGTTTCTCACGGATATCTTGCTACCACTACTGCACCAGCAATCTGCAAATTGCCACAGAGAATACGCAACTAAATTCAGTTCAACTCATCATGTACTACACTTTGGAGACACCACGACCAATAAGTTTTCATGTTGAAAGGAATTATAAATGTAAATATTTGATTCCTCAAGGTCCATCAACAATAATGCCAATACAATCACTGAGTAGCTTCAACTCCTATCATAATATCAGGTTCTCCCCTTATCCTCATGCAGTTTCACTAACTAAATAGGACACATAACGAAACGACAGACACCACAAGTTTTAAAATACCCCCCCCCCCCC